TTTAAATAATTTAAATTAAAAATATATATTCATTTAACTACTTTTAAAAATATTATAAATAACAAACAAATTAAAAAAAAAAAATTATAATCAAACAATTAAATTATTTGAAAACAAAATATATAATCATTTATTTAAATTAAAAAAAATTATAAATAACAATTTTATATTACCTTCATTATTTCCCAGCCTTGCTGCTTCTTGTCTGAGGTGATCTTCTTCCAGTCCTGCACGTAGATGGGGAACAGCGTCCACTGCTGACCAAGGAGGCGCACGTACTTGTTGTACAACTGGCCACCTTTCTTCGTCGGTTGGCCCAACTCATTGAGCGGCACAACCACTCGTCCGCCCGTCATCATAGACAGCTCTCTGGCTGTCAGCCTCCGATAGGACCTGTTCCCCTCAGTGTCTACAAAATTTAATTAAGAAATAAATTATATATCAATAAATTAATATAATTTCTATATAAATTAAATACTGATCAAAACTTTAAAAAGTTAAAATAAATACTTACCGACAAATTCCACCTCATAACCAGCCTGACGTCTCGGAGCAGGACGCTATGCAGCCTGGGGATACTCATTCCCCTGATCCTGCTCCTCCTCCTCCTCCTCCTCCTCGTCAGCAGCATCAGCATGGGGTTGCTCATCCCCAGTAAAATGAGCCTCCTCAGTCCGCTCAATACCATCCTGCTCCATAAAACTGAGGATATCCTCCTCGCTCAGATCGTAGTCATGAATGCTGGGAAATGGCTCATCAGCATCATGATGAACCTCACTGGGTCCAGCTCTCTCAGGATCAACTGGGTCTTTCCCATGTCGACGAGGCATCCTAATAACAACAAATAGTAATTATTTATAAATGAAATAAAAAAAATTAATTTATAAGCTATAACATAATAAAATTAATAAAATAAAACATAAAATAAAAATTATTTATCAATAAATTACTATTTTTACCTGAAAATAAGGATCTGCAACTGAATCAGAACTCAAATATGTTTGTGAAGAAAATTCAGCAGAGCTTCGCTTCCAGAACGATTGAAGAAGTGAGAGTGTGGGGGGGTATATATAGACCGAGACTTTCTAGCGGTAATTTCTAGCGGTTTTGTGCCTAACCGCTAGAAATTCCCAACGGTCATATGACCGTTGGGAATTTCTAGCGGTTCTAGGCCTGAACCGCTAGAGATTTCTAAACTCCTCGGGGAATGAAAAAAATTTCTAGCGCTTCATGCATCAACCGCTAGAATTTTTCGGTGTCTAGCGGTTTATTAGCCTGAACCGCTAGAAAGTAAACGCTACAAATTTGGCGCCAAGTTCCCGCCAAAGCCCGGGGAGTGTTCTAGCTCTAATTTTCTAGCGGTTAGGGGGTAACCGCTAGAAATGTGCGTTTAATGGTCAAACCGTCTGTATTTTGCAGCGGTTTTTGTAGGAACCGCTAGAAATATCTGAAATTTCTAGCGGTTTTGTTTAACCGCTAGAAAGGTTCCGCTGCTACTTCTACAATTTCTTGTAGTGTATAAGCGGTAAAAACAAGAAGGGCTGCATCGATGGGTTTGAGTTTGAAGTTGAAAAAGATATTGGCTACACATAAGGATCTTTTCCTTCCATCAACAACATAAGCATTCATCCTAATGTTAAAAATGAATTGCACACAAGAATAATAAAGCTTACAAAAAAGAATCAACAGATTAAACAACAAAAGGAAGAGATTCTACAACAGTATGACAAGATCATGTCTATAATGTAATGAATAGGAATTAGATTATCTAAGCTCTCCAGCAGTAAAAATGCAGAAAATTACAATTGAGAGATATTATATTAAAGAGTTTAGTTATATATTAATTGGCTTTACTATAAGACTTCTAACAATTCAAGTATTTCTAATTGAGAACCTATGTACATACTACATCTCTAGTCCTATTTAGAAGGCAGTTTCAGCATATTTTATACAAACCAAGAAAAATATTAAATTATATTAACTCTTCATTAAAATATAAGAACTTTTAATTTTACCCATATTTAATATATATACTTTTCCAAAAAAAATAACTATCTACATTATAATAAATAAATGATAAGATAGTACATCTATACTAAAAACTTAATGAAGTAACTTATAAATAGGATTAAAAAAAAAAATTTCTCTCTGTCCTATAAATAGAACCAGAGGAATATCTTTTAATTGCAGTACGTGTGGTCTTCAATAAATTGAATTGTCATTATTATGCTTTTTAATTGTTTTCTCTCTCTAAAAACTAAACAAATAGATAAAATAATATATAAGAAAAACTAAAAATACAAACAAACAAAAATTTGTAGTGTTTATAGATGTTGATGGTAAAAAAAAAATATTATAATAATTCTGAACTTTTAAAATAATTATGATTTCACTTGAATATAAATCTTCGAAAACCTAGGTTGTTGCACGTAATTTTGCCTCTTATTTAATTTTGTTTTTCCAAGATGTGTTTATTGGGGTATCCGTTGGCTGGCTTGTCCGAGAGAATGATCGATTTAATTAACCAGGTCATAACGATGACTTCAAGCGCCGTGAATAAATAACGTAGCATGATCAAATGAATCGTTGACCCCATGAAAAATTTATCAAATGACTTTTTTTTTTTTTGCCATCGAATTATCAAATGATTTATTGTTTGTTCAATAAAAGATGATTTGCTAATACTCCTCCGATCTTTAATATAAGACCTATTTAACTAATTTGATTAAATTAAGGAAGTTAGGTAAGTTAGTTAATTATAAGAAATGTGACACATTTTTCCTAAAATACCATAATCATCTTTCTTAATACCCCATCTTCTTCTTCTACTTGATTATGGTTGAGGGAGTATTCATATGGGTAATTTAGAAAAAATTGATAAATATAACAAATGGGTCTTATATTTAGAACAAAAACCAACTCAACAATTAGGTCCTATATTAAGGATCGGAGGAGTATTATTTTTTAATGTCTCGCAAGTTTCATTTAAGAAACGCTGTCTGAACAAGTTTGATATTTTTAAATTTGAGTGTCGGCCAAAACAAATATTAAAAAAAAAAAATTGGTTAGCTCTTCCCGTCTTCCCATACAAAGTGGTCCATCTTGGTTATTAGTTTTGTAAGCTAAAATGGATTGTTGTAAATTTTTTTTCAAAGAAATGATACGTTATCGTTACAATATTATAATCAAGATTTAAGAGGTGTTTTTTTTAAAAGAAATGATAAGTTACCATTTGGGCCCCAATATATCACAATAATCAAAGCAACTACCAAAACACTCTCAGCCAATGAGAAAAATATCAAGTCATCTAATAGAATAGTACTACCGTCACCCAAAAAAAAAAGAAATAGTACTACTATTTCATTACAAGGTGTCCCCCGTTATCACTACGATATTATAATTAAAGAAGAATGCTCACAACTACCAAAAAAAAAAAAGAATGCTGATATTAAATTTTTTATATTCATTATATTAACTTTTTCAATACACATGTCTTATTTTTAAAATATTATTATTCAAGTACAAATTTATATTAAAAAAATGAGACACATAACGATGTGTAACTCAATATAAGGAATTTGATCTAAATATTTTTTAAAATTAAAATATTTTCAAGTAATATACTAAGAAATAGCCCATCAATTTTTGTGCTAATTAAATTGGCATAATATATTTCGTCTAGGCTTAAATATAAAACTTAATTAAATACTTTATAGGAATTAAGAAAATTATTTATGTTTTTTATTATTATTGTATAAACATTCTCTGTTACTTTTTCTAAAGTGCCCCTCTTTTATTGAGGGTGTTAAATGTATAAGAGAAAGTGAGGGAGATAAATTATAAAGTTAGTAAGGAAAATTTCAACAAACCCTAATTAATATCAGTCAATCTCTTAAAAATTCTCAAATTTCACTATACTTTTAAGAACAAAAATTTTATGGGTAAAAAGACAAAAACACCCTTATTTTATTTTGAGATTAGGAATTATTTTATTTTTCTTGCAAATGATGGAATTTGAGTTGTCTATTCATACCAAAATAATTATATTTTGGGTTTGTGAATTTCCTTATATTTCTTACAAATTGTCAATTCTTTTTGTGAATTGTCAAATTTGAGTTATTCACACCAAAACAATTGCATTTGGTGCCGTAAATTCTCTTAAATCGACAAATTTGAATTGCAAATTGCCAAGTTTGTGTTCATTCACCTGGAAAATTTAGAAGGATTGACAACTCAAATTCAGCAATTAACAACCAAGTTTGGCATTTTTTTCAAAGTACGGGTATTTTTCTATTGGAGACAATCTTGTTACACGAATTGTTGAGCACTAAATGTAAGTATATCTTCTGGTAAGAATTCGAACATTGATTCATCATATTATGATAAGCTAACCCTTTTTACTAAACCAACCCCCATTGTTCAAATTCGACAATTTGCAACCTAAAATCGGCAATTCGCGAGAATATTTTTTGAAAAACAAAGCAAGAGTATTTTTGTCTTTTCACCCAAATTTGGTCCTCAAGGTACAATGAAATTTTAAAATTTTATGGGAGTTAAGTAACGTTAATAATTATCTATAGTGAGAATTAAATGAAATTTGAGAACTATATGTAATTGAAAAACTTTACATAATGAATGTAAAAGACTTGAGACAAATAATTTTTCTATCTTTAAACCGGAAAATTGGAAGTGATATATAGCTTCATCAGAATAGCAACAGTTTTAATTGCATTATTACAAGTTCCCCTTATACCCAAAAAAAGAAAAAAACATTACATCATTAGAGCAATACAATGCATAACAATAATAGCACATGTTTTTAAAATAGATTGTCTGGTAATCTTCACATTGTAAGTTCTGTTATTTACCACCGAAAATAAATATACATCAATGGATCAAACACTCACTATTCTGTACTGTTCTCTTCACCCCGCCGTCTGCGGAGCACATTGCAGCTCGCCGACCGTCGCATTCCTCCGTGACTCACAGTAATCTGTTTCCTAAGATCCTCCAACAATCTGAGATTGTACCTCTCCGTGTCCTTGCCCCCCCATACCTCTTCTATCTCCTGAATGACGCTCCGTTCTACTCCCAGAACTTTCATCCAACACCTGTGGGGCATGTATAACCTCATTCGGAATTTCGATCGCTACGTCGTTTTCCCCTCGCCGGTGCTCCTCCGCCGGCTTCAGCCTTGAACGGCAAACAGGGCAAGTCACGTGGGAGGCCAACCAGGCGTCGATGCATTGAGGATGAAACACATGGTTACATTTCGGAAGTAATCGGAGCGTATCTTGTTGGTCGAACTCGCTCAAGCACACGGCACACTCCAGCGCGGCGGCTTTCCCAAATTTGAGGCTCTTCACGGCGGAATACACGAGGATGGGGAAGGTGTCGAGTAATTTTGGGTCAATACCTTGAGGACCACTTGAAGAACAATTGTCGGCAGCAGCCAGATCCACGTCGGAGCAGTGGCGGAGGGAGAGGGCAAAGCTGACAATGAAGAAGACGGCGCAAACATGGGCCACAATCATGGGAGCGAATGATACATCCCAAGTGTGAAGGGGGGCATTTGGAGAAACCACCGGTCCCCAACTTGACTGAGCATCGACGGTGGAAGAGAGAAGCCAGAAGACGAGGATGGGTGAGGGTGTGATCGTCTTCATCATTTGGCTATTGTCGGAAACTCACAGTGAAGAAATATAGATAGATAAGTACAAAGGCTGGTCATTATAAAACATGAGAACTAAGGAGAGGCCAAATAGAATTCAGATAATAATGGTGGTTGGCTTCTGTATAGTGTACTGTCCAAAACACGTGATTCAATGTATACTCTGTTTTTTCAATATCCTATTGGCGCCTAACTTCTAACTAAAAAAACTGTGTATTTTTTCAATCATTAAATTAGATAATTAATTTAAAAATCTAGGTAAGTTAATTATTTATAAAAAAATATGTATTGATTTTTAAAATGATTATTTTAATCATTTATATAATAAATTTTCTTAATAAGAACTTTTTCTTGATATGTGTGATAGAAATATTTTAAAAATGATAAATTTTTTTATATATATTCAGAATTGAAAGGAGTATTTATTGAGAAAAAATAGATATTAAAAAATTAGTGTTAAGTTGCGTGGGAGATTAAAAAAATATAAAAAATATAAAATTATAAATTAGGTATTTTATCAAAAATTTGTTGTAATTTATTATTTAATTGTTTTCGAAACTCATGCAAATTTTATCATGAATTCTCACTTGCGATTTTACAGTCCGATTTTCTCATTAAAGAATTGCCTCCGGTTTTGTCACCTCCCGCCCACGTTTTAGACGTGAATTAACAAAATGCCAGTTGTCATAACCAGAGGAAATCCTTACTTTTTCGTGATTTTTTTCTAAGGCTGGTTTGGTACAACTACAAGGTGAGAGGAGGAGAGGGAGAGAGTAGGAAAGATTGTTGGAATATTTTTAAAATAAAGAGATGTGTTTTTTGAAAAGTCATGTCCTTATATAAATTTATTAGATTAATAAATTTATATGAGGGGTTATGTCTTCATATAAATTAATAAATTTATTTAAAGGGTTGTGTCTTCGTATAAATTAATATATTTATATGAAGGGTTATATAGGAACTTAAAATATTAAATGAACCTACATACTAAATATATTGTATTTAATAAAATGTCATTGTAGGAAGTTAAAACATTAAATGAATCTACATACTAAATTCATTGTATTTATTTAAATTACGTTGGTTCATAAACCAACATATGATTGTGACTTTTTATTTAATAAGGTTTTATTCTAAAAAGTATCTCTTCAAGACATCATTTCATGCTCTATATAAACCCTTCACTATCACTTCCCTTCACAATCACTTCATTTAGAGACAATACAACACAAACACTAAGATCAAAGTCATTGCCTTTGCCTTTAAATGCACGTAGAGATAGAGTCAAATTATTACTTTGTAAAAGCCATTGTTGTCTTTGCTTGAATTTGGAAGTGCAATTCATATTCAAGGGTCTTCATTGTATCCTGAAAGAAATTCGTCAGGCATCCCAACTTGCATCCTATAAGATAGGAATAGGTGGGGGCGAATTAAACCTCAAGGAAAGTGCTGCCCACGCCTTAAAGACATCGTGCACCACTTTCTTCTTCATCTCTTCTTCATGTACTCTTCAGAGAACCATTCCCGCAAACAGTCTTTAGGCTTAGTCCACAAGTACAAATGGCTTCTTTGAAGGAGTTGACTACAAATTTTGTGAAGTTGGAGAGATTTGAAGGGGGTAACTTTCTGAGATGGCAGAGAAAGATGAAATTTCTTCTCACAACTTTGAATGTGGCTTATGTTCTCAACACTCCCAAACCTCAAGAGAAGGAGGATGAAACTATTGCCGAAATCAGAGAGAGACAGAAGTGGGAGAATGATGACTACATTTGCATTGGACATATCCTCAACAGCCTCTGTGATGCTCTCTTTGATGTTTATCAAGATACAACCTCGACAAAGGATCTTTGGGACAAACTTGAGGCAAGGTACATGCAAGAGGATGATACAAGTAAGAAATTTCTTGTCACTCGTTTCAATAGTTATAAGATGGTTGATGGAAAGTCTATCATGGAGCAAATGCATGAAATTGAACATATTTTGAATAATTTCAATCAACATAAAATACATATGGACAAGTCCATTATTGTCTCCTCAATCATAGACAAACTTCCTCCTTCATGGAAAGACTTCAAAAAGATTCTCAAACATAAAAAAGAAGATATCTCTCTTGAACAATTGGGAAATTATCTTCGTTTAGAAGAGGAGTATAGAAAGGAAGACGTTGAAAAGGAAGCCAATACTCAAGAGAAGGTATATGTGGTGGAGAAAGAACAGTCCAACAAGACCTCAAAGAAAAGAGAGAAGGATAAAGACAAACCCCAAGCACAGGATGTGTAACACCTCACATAATTATATCAATATACGAAATAAAATATTTAATTTAAAAGTCCATACATATTTTTAATACTGCAATTAAGTTAAAATTTCAAAACATTTCTAACATAACTTAACAACATAAACTATTAAAGTCTTATAGTCATGGCAAATAAAAATATAACATAGCATGTGCTTGAGGAGCACAAAAGCCTTCACGACTCACTCCATTGGTGCCTTCCCTTGATTCCTACTAGATCCTTCGCCTGAAAATTGTTAATATAGGGGATGAGATCTAACGTCTCAGTAACTACTGAAATTCTAACCTATACAAACAAATCATATATGATAAACCAAAAATCCTTTTGTACGTGTGTGTATAAATATATTAAAAATCACGGATTTGAGACATCCAATTCAATTTCATTTTTTTTCCCAACAATATACCAATATCATTTTTCTAATATATCCAAAAATAATGCAATATGCTGCCTCCCTTATATCACCGTCCACCCTTATACCGCTGACTGGAGCCATAGGCTAACACATAGTCCGATAGGAACTAATCCATTTTACTGAATTATTCCAAGCTCACCGATACTAGAGATATATCCGGCCAAAGATATAGAGCTCAAGCTCGGACTATGGCTCCCCTCCTTTGTGAATAGGGAGGTGTCACATGTCCCACAGCTCCAATGAATTCCCGGCCAAAGGAAAACATAGAAGAAGGGGCCCTGACAAGTGCCATCCACTGTGCACCGAGTGATGGCATACCACGTGGTAATTTCATATCCATGCAATCTCCTTCTATCCTTAGCCCAACAATGCATGTCAGATGCCAATAATGTTACATCATAAATACGTCCTCAAATATTTTAAAGATAAGATAGCAATAAAACTTATATACCATTTAATAACAACTCATGACAATTCCTCAGCCATCAATATATTTAAACATTGATCATAATTAATAGCAATAAATCTTGACAAAATCAAATAACATATCAAAACATTTATTTGAAATCATAATACTACTTTTCAGTATGATATAAAAATTAGTAAATCCACAATATAATCATACACAATTCACATGTACAAGAAAGAATTTTCAGAGTTACCTGGTACTCTTTAGCTTACAAATGTTCACACAAGGATTACTCCAAAATTCTTAAGTCTACAAAATTGCACATAAATATTCATTAACATAAACTCAAAGCTACTCCAAAGCTACTCTAAAATTCTAAGACTACCCTCTAAACCAAAATTTACATAAATATATTAACTCTCCCAAATCTAGGCATTTATAATAGATATTGTTTTGAAAAATAATTTACATATAAGGCTATTTAAATTTAACAAAAGTATATATATATTTTTAATTATAAACAAACTGTAGCTTTATTTAATTTTACAAAATTCTCAATTTATAATTTTTCAAGCCTTCAAAAATTATTTCAAAAATATATCTTTAACTTATTCAATATTTAAACCGATTAAAATCTCAATAATATATTAAATAACTCATATAAATTATTTAACTCAAATTTAATCGGTAAAAACATATTACAAGTCTAAATAACAAACTTTTCAACTAAAATCTTAGTTTAAAATTCTCAAAATAATCATTCAACAAAAATAAACCGATTAAAATTTCTTAATAATGTATTTTAAAATTTCTACGGTCATATATTGTCAAAACTCCATATTTACTCTATACCCAAGCGGTAAAATTTTCTTTAAACATGATAATGATACTAATAATATAAAGCTATAAATATATAGGAAATATTCATAAAGAAAATATGATAACAAGAAGTAGTTTTGTGTACCTAAATGATCTCCAAAACCGTCAGGTACTCTGGAACTCGGCTCTCTCTCTCTCTTTTTCTCTATGCTTCTCTCTCTCTTTTTTTCTTTTGCTCTCTTCCTCTTCCGCACTCTCTTGCTCTTGCTTGAAGGAGATCACCGGGGGATGATATATATATAATACCCCATGTTTCATTTTTCCACGGCTCATCTCCCACTTTTCCACTTCCACCGTCCTTTCCCCCTCTCTTTCTTCCATCAAATTTCTTCTTTCATTTATTACCTTCTAATTTTTTTCCAACCCATCTAACACTCCCCCTCAACATTCCTCTTTCATTTAATACACCCCCTCAAATTCTTCTTTGCCTCCAACTTTCCACCTGATTTGGTGGAAAGTTGTCCCCCTTTTTTTTTAAATAATAAAATATTATTATTATATATTTTTTACATTTTTTTTTAGTATGTTACAATTCTTCCCACCTAAAAAGAATTTTGTCCCCAAAATTCAATACACGAAGAGAGAGTTTACTTCAAGCAGCAGACACAAATACAAATATCTATACTACACATCAAGAGCACAACACAAGTACAATAAGTACAAGTATACCATAATACAATCACCAATACTAACACAACACTAACTCTTCCTAATCAAACAAGTTAGGAAAATCATGCCGCATTCGCTCTTCGGTTTCCCAGGTGGCATCTCCAGGAGACATTCCTTTCCAGAAAACCTTAAGTAACCGAATAGTTTTATTCCGAAGTTGCTTATCCTTAGCGTCCAGAATGCGTTCAGGTTCGGCCTTAAAAGTAAGATTCTCCTGTAACTCGATCTCTTCAGGCTCAATCACATGAGATGGATCTGGGTGGTACTTCTTGAGTTGTGACACGTGGAATACATTATGAATATTGGCCAGTTGTGGAGGTAGGGCAATTCTGTAAGCCACTGGTCCTACTCTCTCCAAAATTTCATAAGGACCTATGAAACGGGGAGTGAGTTTCCTTGCTCGAATTGATCTTCCAATACCCGTCATCGGTGTGACTCTTAGAAATACATGGTCTCCTACCATGAATTCCAATGGTCGTCTTCTCCTATCTGCATAACTTTTCTGTCTGCTTTGGGCAGTAAGCAACTTCTGTTGTATCATCTTAATCTTCTGAGTTGTGTAATCCACCAGTTCTGGACCTATCAAACTTCTCTCGCTCAACTTTGTCCAACAAAGTGGAGATCTACACTTTCTTCCGTACAATGCTTCATAAGGTGCCATCTGAATACTTGAGTGGAAGCTATTATTGTAAGCAAACTCTGCTAAAGGAAGGTGATCATCCCAATTTCCTTTTAATTCAATTGCACAAGCTCTTAACATGTCCTCAAGAGTTTGAATAGTTCTCTCTGTTTGTCCATCAGTTTGGGGATGATAGGCGGTGCTAAACCTCAACCGTGTTCCCATGGCGTCTTGCAACGATCTCTAAAACCTTGAAGTGAATCGTGGGTCTCGATCTGATATAATACTCTTTGGTATACCATGTAATCGGACGATCTCCTTCACATAGATCTGTGCTAGCTTTTCCAAAGAGTAATTTGTCTTGATGGCTAGAAAATGAGCTGATTTAGTCAATCTGTCAACAATCACCCAAATAGCATCATGCCCAGATTGAGTTCTAGGAAGACCCGTGATAAAGTCCATGGAGATACTATCCCACTTCCATTCTGGAATCTCTAGATTTTGCAATAATCCTGGAGGCTTCTGGTGTTCAATCTTGACCTTTTGGCAAGTTAGACAACGAGAGACAAACTCAGTTACATCTTTCTTCATACTAGGCCACCACCAGTTTCGCTTTAGATCATGGTACATTTTGGTCACTCCAGGGTGGATAGTATATTTGCTTCTATGAGCTTCATCAAGTAGTAGCTTCTTTAACTCTTTATCATTGGGGAGGCACACCCTCGCTTTATATCTTAGTATCCCATCTTCACCAATATTAAACTTGGACTCTTTTCCTTGTTCAACTTCTTCTCTAACCCCTAGTAGATACTCATCCTCCAATTGGGAAATTTTAATTTCCTTCCAAGTTGTACTCTCAATGGTTAGTGCTTTCATGGTAGCAACTAACCCAGACATTATATCAATAGGTGTACTTTGCACCTCCTGCAGTAGGTTCCACTCCTTGACCATCAACTGGGCTGCATGGATAGATTTTCTACTTAAGGCATCTGCTACAATGTTTGCCTTCCCTGGATGATACTTTAGCTCATAATCATAATCCTTAAAAAACTCCATCCACCTTCTTTGTCTCATGTTAAGTTCTTTTTGATCAAACAAGTACTTCAAACTCTTATGGTCGCTAAAAATTTCAAATTGCGAACCATAGAGATAGTGCCTCCAAATCTTCAATGCAAATACGACTGCTGCCAATTCCAAGTCGTGAGTAGGGTAGTTTTCCTCATGCGGCCTCAATTGTCGAGAAGCATAAGCAACTACCTTACCATTTTGCATTAATACAGCCCCAAGACCCTTCTTAGAAGCATCAGTATACAAAGTAAAAGACTGTGTAGGGTCTGAAATCACAAGTACCGGTGCGGTGGTCAACTTGGTCTTTAAAGTCTGAAAGGCTGCTTCGCATTTCTCAGTCCAAACAAACGGTTGGTCCTTTTTAGTTAGTCTGGTTAAGGGCATAGCTAACTGCGAAAAGCCTTTAATGAATCTCCTATAGTAACCTGCTAGTCCAAGAAAGCTTCTAATTTCTGTGACACTTTGTGGTCTGTCCCATTTCAACACTGCATTAATCTTACTAGGGTCCACTGATACACCTTTAGCTGATACAACATGACCCAAGAATTTTACTTCTTTGAGCCAAAACTCACACTTTGACAACTTTGCATAGAGTTTGTGTTCCCTTAACACCTGCAGCACAATTCTAAGATGTTGTTTATGCTCTTCCTTATCCTTAGAGTAAATAAGGATGTCATCAATAAAGATCACTACGAATTTATCCAAGTAAGGTCGGAAGATTCTGTTCATATAATCCATAAAGACAGCTGGAGCATTGGTTAGCCCAAACGGCATAACAAGGAATTCATAGTGGCCGTATCTTGTTCTAAATGCAGTTTTTGGGATGTCCTCAAATCTAACTCTTAGTTGGTGATAACCTGACCTTAAGTCAATCTTAGAGAATATTGACGCTCCAGATAGCTGGTCAAGTAGATCATCGATCCT